GTAAAGTGTTTTCATCGGCTACCTCTTGACCAACCGTAATGGAAGCAGATCGCTATTAAACATGATTTTTGAGTAACATGATAAAGTGCTAGCTTCGTCATTTAAAGCAGATTTTTATAGTCAACATGAAGAGCCAAAGTCATGTCTGATGTGTMTTGCACTTTGCCCCCAATCAGAACAAGGCTGTTTTAAAATATAGCCATCATTACAACTGTTCCAGTAAAAAAATAAAATAAAATAAAATAAAAAGGAAGAAAAAAAAGAAAGTCTAATAGCACATGTAAAGATAGTCAAAGAAATCATGGAATGAGTGGAAGTGCTTACAGGATCTTCTCTTTTTTCACTATGTATGGTCGGTGTGAAAACGATGCCACACATTTAGTCGAATCCTCTCCGTTTGTATTTTTTTTTGCTCTCACATATTTCCTCGCATACCTTTGTTTTTGATTGTTTACATTTCTTATTTTCATTTTAAATCATGTTGGTCTGTATCCTTGGGTCTTTTCTTCTATTAACTGTAACATATCAAATATGGCAAAAAAAGAGGGTAAAATAAAGATTTTTGGGTCAAAAGTAAAACACAAAGGTAAAAAGAGGATACTGCTATGGTCATCAAGCATTCTGTATTGCTCAAAACTAAAAATGCCAGGCATTTAGCCCAACTAGACTAGTTCTTCCTGCTGGCCTCATWAAATAACGTTCCTAATTATAATGTACAGTATATCTTTATCTAATATTTTAACTCTGCAGATATGCATATTGAGAATATTTTCATAAATGCAACACCTAAAGCATAGCTGTAGTGGGAATATGTGGGAGGCTAATAGCTGGGTGAATTTTTAAACACATGATGAAAGTCCATAAGTGCATTAAGTATTTTGATTACTATAATTTATTACTGAYTATTTTTGCTTTCTTAACACAAATTAAAACAAAGAGGCAAATGTTAATTGAAGTGCTCAACTCTGAACTCATTCTGAAATTGTAGTTCCACAAATGTTTTTCTTTTAACTCTTTAAATCATAAGGTCAAAATAAAAATGTTTTACACCATTTTGTCCTAATTCATTTTATTTAAGGAGCGAACAGTGTTGCACTAATTTATATATATTTTTTTCTGCATGCTTCCTTTAATCGGTCATAAACTTCCACTCCGTATCCAGTCCTCCAACCCGTGTGCATGTAACAAATGAGGGACCTCCTCCAGCTGGACAGAAGTAGGTCTCAGGAGGAGCTGGGAGGGAGCAGAGGCTGAGCAGGGACGAGACAGAGCTGGCCAGAGGAGATACAGTCTGATGGATGGCCAACAAATGGAGCGAGAAGAGCGAGGGAGTGAAAAAAAATGAGAGACAGAGGGATGATTGGGAGCTATCATTCCATTTCCCTCCTGTCTGGCTTSCTGATGATGAAGGCCATTATTCACAGAGCGAGTAGCCAATCTTGTCTCCTTTTTTTTAAAAATCTGTATTAACCTCATGTGTCTGGGGGGTTGTGTTAGCTCGGTGGTCAGGATCGCTGTTTCATAATCCTGATAATCCAGGTTGTGTCAGGAAGGACATCTGAGGTAAAACAATTATGAAATCTTTTGTGCGAGTTCAGGCACATTAGTGACCTCAGCAGACGGGAGCAGCCAAAGGAACAAAAAGACAAAATGAACACTCTGCGTCTCATATTTTAAATATTTTTCCCTTATATATATTTCACCTGCCAACAAATGGAAAACAAAAAATATTTTTAGCTAAATATTACAGCTCTGGCATTTGAATTTGTTACTCAGCTACACCTCAGTGGAGCTATAATGGGACTATTTTTTTTCTCCTGTAATAAATCAGTGTTCATGTAGTTCAGGCATAATTAGGAGTAAATTGTTACAGATTTGGGGGTTATTTACTGGAAAGCATAAATACTTGATTAAAATGCCACATTCAAAACTCCTGTAGGTCTACTTAACAGTCTCCATTTGTCTTTTAAAACATATTGCTGAATATTATTGCTACTTATAGCCTGAAATCTGTTACAATATTCTCATTCTCAATAAAGGGATTTCAGTATAAACATTTGTTTTTTTCTGTTTAAAATGAGTGTTAACTTTTTTTATATAAAAAAACATTTAGCCTAACTTTTTACTGTAGCTATTCTCATCATTAACAAAGACATAAACTTTAAGTCATACCATTAACCAAAAAAAAAAAACTCTTTACTATACTTGAAACTGTGATAATGGAATTGTTAATTCACATAACTAATGTCAGCTAAAAGTTCATACTTTGGGCTCTTCTAGCATTGTCAAGAAAAATAGTGTTTTAATTAGCTAAAAATGTTCACCTCAGCCAAAAACATTGAGAATTGTAACTTGTTATTCTGTGACTTCAGCTGTAATTTAACTAACATATAAAAACTTGAACATCTCCACATTGGATACAGAACCTTGCTTTTAAAAGTTGTCCGTACATTTAGATAAAACTATTAGCTGTAGGTGACGTGGTGGCCCATTCGGAAGAGTTGTTGCCTCTCTGGGAGAAGGTTGCTGGATCAAATCCCAACCTTTCAGGGTAGAGTGTGCATGCTCTCTCTGTGCATGCGTGGGTTTTCTCCGAGCATTCTGGTTTCTTCCCACAGACCAAAAAACATACATGTTGGGCTAATTGGTAACTCGTAGGTTGTTTAACTCCACAAATGAAAATATTCTAAAATCGTATCTTTTTTTTTATCTGAAGCCCTTCAGTTCTTCATGGTAGAAGATTACGACATTGTTTAGTCTTACCAGAACACTCAGGACACGTTGTCTTTGACATTATGCTAAATAAATCCATTTGTCCTAAGTTTGCCCTACAGACTTTTATTATCCAAGCTATTGCTCTCACTAAAGTGTTTACTCAGCTGCATCAAAATGAGGACAGTAAAGATGATAAGGACTTAATCAGCAGACTTGCAGTTTTAATGCAAGCGGCAGTTAGAGCCATCTCTGGTCCCTCGCCTCTCGCCAAACACACCTCCATCCCAAATAACGACTGGGGTTGTGCCTTAAATTCAGCTTATTGAAACGGCTTTAGCCCTCAACTAAGCTGGGGGTAGAAATATGTGCGTAATTAGAAATGAAGCGAACACGCTGAAGTGGAGGGAAATTGAGTTGGTTTCAATTAAGGCTCATGAAGCAGACCACACTTAGTGGACCATTATCAGAAATGGATATCGCCTGAAGGAGGAGGAGGAGGAGGCCTCGTTGCAGAAGCACGCAAATAAAACTGTACAGTACGCACTCTATGAACCTGCGTTCATCACCAACTGAGAAATGGAATTTTCTGCAGGCTGATCCTTCTGCTGTCCACGAGAAAGCAGCAAGGAGAGAATTGCATGTTAGGCTATGAGCTATGAGTCGCATTCATGTGTAGGAAATTTCTGCACATTAATCTTGTTAAATGCCGTCAATTACGGATCCCCAGTTCTTGGCAGCCGTTTGGTGTTTTTTATGTTTTATTTTTTATTTTTTGAAAATAAGCCAAAACCTTTGTTGTAGAGTTGGCTCAGTCCACACGTAAATGGAAAGATTAGATATGAGAATATGTCACAAAAGAACGAAAGCTTAGGGCAAGGATGTCCAAACATTTTGTCACATGGGCCAAAATCATAAAGTCAGAAGGACTTGTGGGCCAAAAATATTTTTCCTTTACCTGCTCAATAATGAACTAAGCATTGAATACTTTAATTAAACAAATAAAGTAGTCAGATTTATTGCTGGAGATGGATGCATAAATTAATCTAGATCCAGAACTTTAGTGTTTTGCAGGTTTCCCTTATTAAAAGAAATTTTCTAGGTTTCAGTTGGGGAAAAGAATAACCCAATTTAGTCAATTCTGATCAATAAAATCAGGATTTAGATCAGTCTTTCGTTGAAAATGCTTGCTGTATTCAGACAAATTTAATGAAATAATTAAAAGCAGATTGGAGTGCAGCAAAATCAACATTCATGCGGAAGTCACCAGATAGATGTAGAAAAACCTAAGAGCCTGGTTATTTAAAGACAAATAATTGGTTTTATTGACAATATTTTTTTATTATAAGATTTTACTTTGTGATAAATTTGCCCTAATAATGAATAGAACGACATCAAACACCTGTGCCAGGGGGACAAATTTGTAAACAAATTAGTATAATTTTAGACTGAAGTCAGGGGCCACATAAAATCAATTCAAGTGCCACGAATGGCCCCCAGGCCACACTTTGGACATCCCTGGCTTAGGGGGATGGGATCATTTTCGGCCGTATGAGCTGATTGTGACTTAATAATGTCCCTGTTAATTTTCTAACACTGCTGCTGGAAAAAAAAAACTTCTACAGTCCGTTTTCYGATACGCAATCTAGCCATTGTGCGTGTGTGAAAAGGAAAAATTAAAGGGAAAATTAAAAAAGACAAAAGGCAGTAGTGATTTTTTTTTCAAGCAGAACATCCGTACAAATAACAGTGAAGCAGCATCCCTCTAAATCAGGGTTGCGAGGTGAAAAACAAGCTGCTAATTCTAATCAAATGCAACATCTGTTTGCCCTTCAGTGCCGACAAACCTTTAAACCTCCTGCTTACTAATGATTTGAGTTGCATATGGGCTCATTATGGTAATTTAATTTATTTCTCCCGAGAACAAATTACGTCCCTCCTAAATTTTAGGCGGTTAAGTGAGAAATAAACATTTATCTTGTAGAAAAGGAAGAAAAATAAAAACTTACAGCCCGCGCAGCAACATGTAAGCGTTTAATGAACCGTTTTTTTTCCATAGCACTATTTTCTGCTTCTGTTTTATGGTTTGCTTCAGTAGCAGGAAGAATTTATTGCAAATGATGCTGTTTGAATAATTTAGCTTGTTACATGATACTATGGTTTGAGAATCCTACATGAGTATTTAAGTGAAAATAGTTGCTCGTATTAGCAAAGCAAAATTATATGGATGAGACTTACAGTATACATTACACTGACTAATATAAAGGATTTGTTTTTGTGTGTTTCAGCTGCATCCAGGTGAGGCGTTCGCAGTCTACCACACCAGTCCTACGCTGTCCAGTCTGTCCAAACCGGTGGTACTGTGGACTCAACAAGATGTCTGCAAGTGGCTAAAGAAACACTGTCCTCACAACTACCTGACCTACGTAGAAGCGTTCTCCCACCACGCCATCACAGGTACAGGTCACATCCAGCGGTCCCTCCTAATACATGAGCTGCACTTTAATTGCTATAAACTATATCGCTCTAAAAACTGTAACTGCACTCTAATCTATAGCAGAATCATTGAATGTAATGTTATTCATTTAGCAGCAACTTTCACCTTTTTTAAAAACAGGATAAAATAATTTAAAAACTGGGGAAAACACGAACTTTGAAGTTTATAAATAGACTTTGGATTTAAATAATAAAACATGCATAAAAATACAGTCATTTCATTAACAACTGTGTTTTATTTGATGAGTTAATATGTCTGACTTTCATCTAAGGTWGGGGAAAATTGTATCATGTACAATTAATCGTCAGAAAAACTGTCAATTGTTATTTCCACTTTGCAATTACTGCGATTAGTGCCGTTTGATGATGACGTATTTTTGTGTGCGACACACCATCACTATATCAAGCACACATGGGCTCARTGGCAGAAGGCAGGGCAGAGCAACTAAACCGAACTGGTTTAATCAGCTGAAACACCGACATAAACTGGAGTACAACTTCAGCCACATGCAAGTGAAATTGTCATCCAAAAATTGTCATATTATTGTCAGCTAAATGCCACAATTAATCATGATTAAAACAAACTWATCTATATCACCCAACCCTACTTTCATTTACAGCAGGGCTATTCAACTAAATTACTCCGGGGGCCACAGTTACTGCAGGTCAACAGCTGAGGGGCCGAACATCCAGCAGTTAAAGTCATTATGTAAATAAACCAAGTATTACAAAGATCTGTTACCTTTGAATTAGTTTATTTTGCTGCATTTAATCATGAAAACAACATACAGAACCGTGTAAAAGTAGTGATAATTAAACAAAATCAAAAACACAAATAACAGTATGCCTCCTATTTGACACAAATAATATTTTGACATCTCTGACTTGCCAAATTTAGAAACCAATTTTATTTTCACTTTCATCATTTTATCTTCAACTACTTGTAGTTTTAACCGTCTTGAGTGTTCATAGAAATGGTTTTTACCAGCTTCTAGCCAAGATTCTGACCTTTCTGTTAATACCAAACATGTCTATGTTGAACTAAAAGAACTTAGAGTAATTAAAGTAGAAAACTGGGGGTTTGGGCTTAAGAGATGAATTACCCAATTGGTGGGCAGAACTCTGGTCACTCGCGGGCCGGATGTGGTCYGYGGGCCRCCAGTTAAATAGCCCTGATTTACAGGATGTTTGTCAGATGATCAGGCACAGTTATCTAAAGGTCTAATATTAGCTCAAGTTAAATGATGCAGCAGAAATTCACAATTGCTGATAAGCATGCAATAAAGCTTTTTTACTCATCCTGTTCAAGGGAATAAAACCATTTTTTTATCAGTAAGTTTGATAACAAAAACATTTCATTGCTTTATTTCTTTTAGAAACTAGTTTTATTCAGTGGTAGTTTTCATGGTATAGAAATACACATGCTTACACATCATTTGTAAAAGAAGAATCAATGATGTTTTTTGAGTTAAGTGTTTTGATTCATAACGCCAAGTCATTTTGGATGTTTACTTTACACTGCTAATCCAATAATCCACCGCTTTTAATTTGTTCTTTAATGAAATTTACCATATTAGCTTAGCACAGGTTTTYCTTGCGTATTTAAATTTTTGGCTCGTTATCAAATTTGTAAATGTTGTTTCCTGAGCTCTAACCTTTTCAAAAAGCAGTATATAGCTCTTTATTTTCATGCGCATTTCAAAATATTACTTTAAGCTATTAGCAAATTTCACGAGTCCTTTGTTAGTTTTCTACAGCTTAGCCTTTTTACCTCCAAAACACACTCAAATCTCATGCATATGAAAAGTTTTAATGTGGGGTAGCTGAAAGGGTAAAACCTATTTTTGTTGATGGCTCACAAAGGCATGACCAAGTGCTTCTACAAGCAAAAAGAAAAAGAAAAGTTGATGTTAGAGAAGTGTTGTCACACTTAACACTAAACTCACATAAATCTCCTGCCTTGACAGAGCAGACAGTAGAGCAGTTTCTTTTTCAGTGCTGCTCAGGGAACAGATTGTGGAATTGTGCCGGAGGGTCAACCACCACGGTTGCACTTACTGTACACACACACACACACACACACACACACACACACACACACACACACACACACACACACACACACACACACACACGCGCGCGCGCGCGCTCTCAAAGAGACACATGCTGTACTGTACACACACGATGGCTGTAGGGTTAACAATGTGGTCACTGTCAAATCTGCAGCTCTGACAGAAACACTCACTTATGTCTGGCTGCATTTCAGTTTGCCTTGAAAATTATCCCTCGAATGTTAACTAAATAMCATCCAATCACATTTAGTTAAGAGAGAAAGCTGCTATAATTTGAAGGGACTACAGATGTGTGTTAAACCAAAAATCCAAACAAATGTGAAGGACAGACGCACTTCAGTAAAAGGTATAAGACTGTGGAATAATCTGGAAAA